TTGGGTAGTAGATCAGTATTTATCCCGGGTATACAAATGGACTTTGGGCTCCCATCCAACAATGAGAGATGCACTCTCACCCTGGACTCTCGGGGGAGGGTCTAGGTCCTGCCCTGGATGAAATGACAGACTATGGACACCCCCATGGAGGGCCTTACCCTCCCTGGGGAAATGAGGGGATATTGGAGGGGTTGGTGAGAGGAGGGGAGGGCAAGGGAGAGGGACCTGGAATTGACATGTGAAGCAACCTTGTTTCTAATTTAAATTTAAATTAAAAAATAAATATATATATGCATGTATTCCCACATATAATTATGTACACACACCCCGCACACACACACTCGTACACACTCACTTCATGTGCTGTGCCATGTGACCTATGTTCAGAGCTGTCTTCTGAAGCTCCAGGATTACTTATGTGCCTTCTGTTAGTGTCGCACTTCCCACTCTTGGCCTCTCTGTTGCAGTCTTATGTAGGAATTTACCTGCACTCATTTGTGAACTGAGATGGGTACAGGAAGAATGGTAGATAGAGCAACAGCTGCAAGAGCTCTAGACTCTCATTTCTAGAAACTTCCTCCCGTTTCTCTGTGACTCTCGGTAGTTAAGGAATACTCTGCAGTTAGTTTAGAGCTACACATGTGGAGCAGAGGTCCCCAGCTCCAGCAGCATCTTTACTACTTCCAAGAGCCAGATTTTCTTCGTATGCCACTGTCTTTTCCAGTGCTGGGCACACATTGACATTGACGGTTCCTAGGATGAGAACCCTTCAACTGTGTCAGCCAGGACTTCCACAGGCAGAATACCAACATGGAGCCAGGACAGTTTATACGTAAACTTGTGTCTTCACAGTGTCATTGTCACTTTTAAAAATCATAAAATAGATGTCTCTGACTTTATACATATTATTTGCTTTACATTACGATTAGTTCCTAAGTAAATATCTTTATAAAGAGAGAAAAACTGATGTGACTTTTCATCCCTGCCTTGCAAATACAAGACTGTTTCCATACAGATCTCAGTCATTTGATCCAAAACTATCGCTAGCCTGCATTGTTATTTAAATAGCTCATGATCGTGAAGTAGGTTAAATCAGAAATGTTTTAAGAGATTGAATCAGCTTTCATGTGGCCAAAGTCAGTATGGAAACAAAGTGGTCCCAAAATAGTCTTCTTTTTCTCTCCTGTCTCATTCAAAGTCAGCATCTAGGTACTGAGCAAATCCACAAGCTGCCCTCACAGAGTTCTATTATGGGGACCACAGAATTCCTTTGTCTCTTTGTCACAGCATCGTCTAGCACTGCATTTATCTGGGTCTCCTCAGTGCCTCTGGCGTTGTCCATAGCCCAAGTGGGCACGTTTCATCTCAATTAGCAGCAGCAGAAGAATGCAAGGCAGGGGAGGGTCAGAGGTTACAGCCATTTAATGGAATGAAATTCAAATGAAAATTGGAAAACAATCCAAGAAATCTACAGATCATGAGAACTACGGAAACTCAATTAGGAAAAACTATAGACTTTCCTCCTTTGGGGATTTGTTTTTTTGTTTTTTTATGCTGTTGTGGTGGCCTATTTGGTGATAAATAAATGCAGAAGCAAAGGGCTTATTGTTTCCATTGTTAAGAAAGGTAAGTTGATTATCGCTGTTATTCACGTATTCTAATGCTTTTGTGTATGTGCATTCCCTGTGATCTGACCAACCAAAGCTGATTATAGAAGTATGACGCTGTCTATGATTTCGCCATCATTGCTCAAAGTAAAAAGGTAGTTTGGTGAGATTCAACACCAATAACTGAAACAAAACAGAACTTTTGTGGAACAGTTTTCCCATGGTAAGCTTCTGTCATAATAGATGTAAATGGGCTTTTTATGCCACAGCTTATAAATTGGGGAGAAGCAGTACAAACTCTGATCTGATCCACCTTATTTTGTTGTAAGCTTCATTTTTGTTACCTAGAATGTGTTAACCTGGGAAATAGAGCCAGCTCTTTATTTATTTGGTAAGTAGCCTCTGCATGGCGTGTACAGCTATTTGTACACATTGAGGTTTCTTTGGTAAACATCAAATCACCATCAGGTCAGAAGGCATTCTCTGTGGAAAGAGCATGTGGGTGTCTGCTTTTGTTATTTTATTGGGTAGTTATGTGAGGCAGTTACTCCTGCTACTTCTTCTAAGGTTCTACGTGTACGATTGGAACATGCAAGCTGTGCTTGCTGCTTTCTTATCTGCTGGGAGAAACATGGGAAAGTCTCCTAACAAGTGTAACGGTGGCACTTTTGTTTGCAGACCAGGAGTCCACGCAAGAGCAGCAACTGGATTCATTTTAGTTCAGGGAATCTTTTTAGAAAAGCCTTTTCTAAGCAAAACTTGGATTCCCAGTCTGCATGCTAGGAGACTCCAAACACACTCCTGAGTTAGAGTTGGGGGCCTGTAACAAATACTTCTAAAAATTGTATGAAGGTACGCTAAAATCTGACGGCACATCCCATTAAGACAGTCTCAGTTCAAGAGTCAAAGGTCATGTTCTGACATTTCATTTAAAATCTCCATATTTTTCAACATTGAATTTTTTTTGCTATGGACACATTTTGACTTAATTAAACTCAAGTCTCCAGCAAACTTGCCAGCATCATCTCTGTCAATAACAGTGTTTTGTCTTACTACAACTGGGACATTTTTGTCACTGAGTTATTAAAAATGAGAAAGGAATGACTCAGAGGTAAGAAAGATGCCCCCATGGCTAAGAGTGCTAACTGCCCCTGCAATGGACATGGGTTCAAATCCCAGCACCCACATCAGGTAGTTCACAACCACCTGTAATTCCAGTTCCAGGGGATCGGAAGCCCTCTGGCCTGCACTGGCACTTGTACATGTAAAGTCATACAAGCACACATACATATTCATAGATAAAAGTAATAGTTATATTTTAAAAGTAAAAGAATGATTCAAATGTTCTGACTGGTGATTTAGGTGTTACCTTTCCAGGTGACAAATTGTAGTACATTTCAATTTATTGTGTTTTCCCTAATAAGTATTACTCACTATGTAAACATGAAGATTTCTGGTAGCAGTTTCCTGAGGATACCCACCACTGATACATGCTTTCTGGAAGATAACAGATCAAAGACTTTTAGCAATGTGTATGCTGGATTGGGAAGATGGACTTATCAAACTGCTTTCCTTTCTTCCCAAACACTTATGTATAAGGCTGAGTATGGAAATACATGCTTGCGATCCAAGCTCTGGCGTAAAACAAGCAGATTTGTTTGGGGCTTGCTCATCAGCTTGCCTAGACAAACTGGAAATCCGAGGTCAATGAGAGATTCTGTCTAAAAAATTGGGTAGCACCTGGGGAACCAAGCCAAGGTGAATGAATACCTGGCCTCCACATCATGTATGACACAAATGCTTACATCCACATGAATGAGCAAGTACACAGACACCTGTGACACACAAAACACACGCTTCCATCCTATAAATTCAACTTTTAAATTATTTTAAAGAAGAATGGAGAAATATATATATACATATGTATATATATATAGAGAGAGACAGAAAGTTTTTTTCTTAGCATGAGTTTTATTATTGTCAGAAAAAATGGCCTTATGTAAAGAGAGGCATCTCAGTTTAATCTCATATTACGCACATGGTGATCTCTGTCTCAGGCATATAACTGTGATACACACTTTATGGTAAATAGCTTTGGAGCTGAGACTACAACACCAACTGCCTCTCCTTTTGAGTATCCCACCTGTTCCGAGGGCACTCATCCATGCCTGTTCCCATTTGTTTGTATGGATACTCTCTCCCTTCCCAGGGAGCAGTCGTTTTTTGTAAGGTCTGCAGGTCAAACCATATGCCAAATTAGACAAAAATCCAGTAAGAATGAAGAAGCTGAGAGTTAGGATTACCGGGGAACCAGCTCCCGAGGCTTGAAGATTTAATGAGCCCTACACCTTCTAAGAGCATTGGAACTAATTTTGATGTCCCAAACCAGGACCTGGTTTCTAATCACAGTAGTTGTGGCTGAGACCCTATCCCTGTGATAACTTTCTGTGGCTTGGTTACTGGGGTGATGGCTGTGATGTGACATAAGAAGGCATGTTGTCTTTTGGGTGTCTCCGGTTGTTACTTGATTGTTTTGTTTGGCTCTTATTTCATTTATGAAATAAGGAAGCCATGAGAATGTCATTTAGGCATCATTTTTTGCACCTAATTTAAAATGATTGTCCATGAGCCTCTCTCAGAGTGATTTGGGGTTTACTTAGGGCCCTCAATAGAGTCTTTGAAGGAGACGAAGCTCATTTAGAAAGTATATTGATATGGTTTCTTCCCTGACTGTTGCAGAATAGCTGTGACATTTGATTCTTTGGGAAACAGTATGGTGCAGGCTTATATCTTTGCAGGTAAAGCATTTTCCATTCTAACAGACAAGAAAACACTTGAAGGGTCTATTTCATTCCTGTAAATGAGTAGATAAAATAATTTACCTGAGAAGAGTGTTTGTTTTCTATGAAATCAATTCAGCATCATATCAAATAGTGAAATTGGCTTGTAAGATAGGACTTATTTTGTCTCTTAACCCTTTGTCTTCTCACTCCTCCATTTTGTCTCTTGTTTGGATGTGGCGTGTGTGCGTGTGTGAGTGCACATGTGTGTGTGTGTGTCTTCTTATTCACTCATTTCATCATATAGTCTATGTGCATGTGGAAAGTGTATGTATGCACAGACATGAATACATGTGTCTTTCATGTCTATCTTGGAAATGCAAAATGAGTATAATTTGAGTTGACAAATAAGAGAACTACACAGTTTAGTCCCACAGAAAATCATTTCCTTATGTAAAGAGTAGCATCCCAATTTAATCTCATATTATGCATTTGCTAATCTTCTGTAATATGCCAAGATTATTTGTGCTACCCTCAGGAATTCTGGGTAACTCACTTAACTGCCTTCCTTTGTTTAAGCCATCATGTGCTCTGTGGTTTATTTTTTCCCTAGGAGTCATCACTGCTGCTGACATTCTAGATCGAGAGACAACAGGGTCATACTGGCTGACAGTGTATGCCACAGACAGGGGCGTGGTCCCTCTCTATTCCACCATTGAAGTCTACATAGAAGTTGAAGACGTGAACGACAATGCCCCACTGACCTCGGAACCCATCTATTATCCTGTTGTCATGGAAAATTCTCCCAAGGATGTGTCTGTCATTCAGATACAAGCTGAAGATCCCGACTCTGGTTCCAATGAAAAACTGACCTATAGGATTACAAGTGGAAATCCACAGAACTTTTTTGCCATAAATATCAAAACAGGTAAGGGCCTGCTTGGCTGAATTGAAATTGGCTGTCTACTTTCAAATGTGTTGTCTGGGCCTCGCTGTTTCTGGCTTTCTGTTTTATTGTCTAGAGAGCAGAGTCTTTTTTTTTTTCTGGAGGAAGTTTATGCCGAGGTAGATGCTTTTCCTGTCTACTTGGAGTATTTAGATCTCACCGACACTGAGTTGAACTGATGTAGTAAGAATCAGAAGCTGCATAGATAGCCAGCTGCAGGTTTGCGCCAATCATTGTAAAACGTGGTCCAGGACCACTCAGATGGTCAGCTGCCTCCTCTGTTTCTCGAGAGCGGAGTGGTTGTCCTGTGCTGGGTTCTTTATGTGAGCTGGCATTGCAAGGCGTCCAGTTGTCTAGTTCCAGGTCTGTCTGCTTTGCTTGGAGTCATTCCAGCTGGTTGTGAATGAACCTCTTAAGGCTTAACTCTAAACTCAGAGATCTCCATCCCTATGCTCTCCATCACTGAAGTGTCAGTGTTCTAAAGAACTTTGCAAATCTGTGTCTGAATCTTTACACAAAAATAGGCAAAATTCAATTTCTGACCTTTTGCTCAAAACATTTATAAAGGTTACAATAAGAACTGAATTTGTTAAGTGCATATTAGAAAGAGACAATGAGGACTTTGGCTGAACGTGTCCTGACCAGGATGCCCACTGGAACATGGTTTTGTAGTGGAATCAACCTCAGCATATGCTACTGTTTCCTGTACTATGCCACTTTTAGATCTGAACAGAGCCATCAAGCCCTCAAGGAGAAAGTGACGGATGGGGCTTTAATTAATTGAAATTTAGAATAATGTAATTCATGTTGCCCTGGGCAGGTGGGTGATGTTGGTCAGTGTTGGGCTAGGCTGAATGCTTTGTTGGTATGGATAGATTTTCATCAGGAACACTAATGGAATTGGTAATTATTTGCCTTTATTTGTTAAGGAGAAATATGTGGTCAACATTGTGTCCTTTAAAATATCAAGTTCCAATTCACAAAACTTGAAGGGTATTTTTTATAAACCTAATTCTGAATCAGTTAATTTTTAAGTATATTTTAATGTTCTTAAAAGTATTTGATCAGGACTTGACCTCTGTTTCATTATAAACAAAAGGTGGTGATCAGCTAGCAAGGTCTGACTGAGGCATGCTTGTGCTAGATGGAGAGGACTCAGATAATGGATCCTGGTCCCCCATCTGAGGCACACAAACATAGACAGTCACCATATACCTGAGGATTAAGCCCCGATACTGTGTCAAGGAGACCTTCTGGTTCACTTCTGTGCTCTAACATAGGACTATAAAATAGAAAATGTGGAGAGAAAAAAATGAATCAAAATAATTTACAGGGAGAAAGGAGAAGGAAAGAGGAAGAAAAACAAAGGTAATGTCAATAAACAAGTTGCGTGTGACATTTGATGCCTCATACTCAGCATTCTGCGACTCCTTGACCCTGTTGCCATTTCAGTCATCAGAGGAGGACCTGACACTCTGCTTTTGAGTTAAAGGACTTAACAGAGGGACAAGTTCATCTGCTGCTGGCCTTTGCTTAGAGTTGAAAGAGAAAAATCCCTATTACAGGCAGAAATCTAGGCTTCCCTGGCCATCCAGTCTAGCCTAATGGGCTCCAGGTCAATGTGAGACCTTGTCTCAAAAATAACATCGACAGTGTTGCTAATGAATGACACTCTGGCCTCCACATACACATGGTCACATGTGTGCATGTAGACACACTTACACACACATGCGTACCCAACCACATACACACACATTCTTGAAAAGTGAATGGCTATCACAGATGTGTGTATCTGATGTGAAGATCTTGTGTTCATTGTGCCTACTGTCTCTAATGCATATGAACTTTCAGGAAGTCTTACATTATCATAATGTGGCTTACATTGCATAATGAGATCCTTAATTGTATTCATAATTTCTCTGTCTTTGCCAGAGAGTTTTAAAAAATGAACCAGAATGACATTTTCATCTAACTTGTCTAATTGTCTCAAAGAAATGCACAGCATGCTTGGTTTTCAGACACAATGTAAGAAGACTATATATATATTGGTTTTCCGAGACAGGGATTCTTTGTGACTTTGGAGGCTGTCCTGAAACTAAGTCTTGTAGACCAGGCTAGTCTTAAACTGACAGAGATCCTGCCTCTGCCTCCTGAGTGCTGGAATTAAAGGCATGGGGCACCATCAACCGGCAAAGAAAATATATCTTGCTTATCCAGCTATTAAGATCATTGCACCCACTTATTTCTAATCACAAAATCCAATAAATGATTTCAAAAACTCCAGATATGTTTTGAGCTCTTGAGGGACCAGAAGTAATATGAAAGTAACAGAACAGTTAACACTTGTGATCCAGTGAGAGAAACAACACTTAAGTGAAGCAGGAACTTTAGTGGATATGGGGTTGTCAAGAGTGATGGACAGGGAGGGATTGCTTTATGTGTAGAATCCTGTGATTACGATACTTGCCCTGGACTTCGTAATTGTGAAACTCTGTGAACCACCACAGAGAACACACAGCAAATCAGTCAGTCCTGGTGCTACCAGCTTTCTGTCCTTCAGCAAGCTAGTGATTCCCTCTGAAATTCAGTGTTCGTGAGTGTGATGGTTAGCTTTGCCAGCTTGACTCAGTCGAGAATCAATCACCTGAGGAAAGAGTTCCAATGAAGTGTTGTCATCACCGAGTTGGCCTGTAGGCATGCTTGTGGAGGACTGTATTTAAACAGCTTAATGGATGTGGAAATACCCTGCCCACCATGGGTAGCACCATTCCCTAGCAATCCTGAACGGTATCAGAGTGGAAAAATTGAACTGAGCAAAAGCAAGCAGGCTAGTGAGCATGCATGCATTCATTTCCCTCTGCTCTTGACTGTGGGTATGATGTGACCAAAGGTCTGAAGCTCCTCCCACTGCGAGCTATAATAAGTCCATTCTCATTTAAGTTGCTTTTGCAAGGGTGTTTTATCACCGCAACGGAAATGAAACTAGAACAGTGAGTAATGATTGCTGCAAGGAACTTGGGAATCCCATGAGGACTTAACTACACTGCCTGGCACAGCAGAGTCACATGATAAATGACGATGCCCTGTCTGCTTTACACTAATGGCAGGAATGTGCTTTAGTGTCTTCAAGCCCAGGTTTCTTATCTGGAAAGTGAACACATCCTTGCTCACAGCGCAGTTATTGCTCATGGACAATGGAAGTCACAGTGCATGTGGAGGATGCTCGTAAAATGCAGAACTCTATAAGAAATGTGTGATATTATAACTATATCTGTTTTTCTTTTGCATGGGGGCGGTATGGTGTGTGTAAGCATCTATCTGTGTGTGTGTGTGTGCGCGCGCGCACGTGTGCATGTGCATGTATTGTGGATGGGAGGTTGTATTTGTACTTAGACATGAAGGGCTGAGGCCAAACTCAAAACTCAACTGTTAGTCTTCAGATACTGTTTGCCTTGGTTTTGTTGTCTGTTTGTTTATTTTCTTTCTTTCTTCCTTCCTTCTATCCTTCCTTCCTCCATCCCCCCCTCTCTCTCTCTCTTTCTTTCTTGAAAGGGTCTTCCAACAGCCTGAAGCTGGCCAACTAGACTATGCTGGCTTACCCTCTGGGGTAAGCCCCAGGAATACACCTGTCTCTGCTGCCTCAGGGCTGATATTACAAGCCCATGCTATCCTGCCCAGATTTTTATGAGAGTGTTGGGGATTGAACCCAGGTCCTCTCATGCTTGCAAAGCAGGGGTTTTGCAGGCTGAGCTGTTTCTCCAGGTTGTTCTTTTTCTTTCTTTTCTTTTGGGGTTCTGTGATGGGGGGGGACAAGCTCACGGAAGCCTGTGAGCTCCTTGTTCAAGGTGTTGCTCTTGTTGTGGAGAGAATCTGATTGACTCCCTGATAGTAGCTTTAATTTTTGGAACTTCGTCCTTCCTTATAAAGTCATTGGTGTGAAATAGTGGCAAAAACATTGATACAATATTTTTCAACAATAAATCAGTGGATACAGCTAAGTAATACATTTAACAAAGATTTGTGCTTTAGATTTTTTAAACTGGAATGTTGCCGATGCTAGTAAACTAACCCTTTGTTCTCTCTGTGGTAGAGATGAAATTTAAAGAGTTTTGCTTTGTTCTGGAAACGTGCTACATGATAAATAAAGATTAAAATGATTAATGTAACTGTGAATTGTGCCAATGTACTAGGTCTACAGCCTAAAGCACATAATGGATGTCACTGACCCTCAAATAGAGAGAAGTTTCTTTGCTGAGCCAAAAGACCCATTTGAGTTTTTCTCTACCAGATTTGGATCCATGTAGAATAAGTGGGCTGTGGGCTTTCTTCAAGTACTTCTTGTAGGCTAGGCAGAAAAATAAAAGCTGTCAAGTGGGGAAGACTTCTTTGGACTGACCACACCGTGCACTAGTTTCAGACAGAGCAGGTGAGGTCAGTCAAAGGCAGCTCCTTGCTGGTGCTGCACCGTGGGGAAGACTCTTTGGACTGACCACACCGTGCACTAGTTTCAGACAGAGCAGGTGAGGTCAGTCAAAGGCAGCTCCTTGCTGGTGCTGCACCGTGGGGAAGACTCTTTGGACTGACCACACCGTGCACTAGTTTCAGACAGAGCAGGTGAGGTCAGTCAAAGGCAGCTCCTTGCTGGTGCTGCACCATGTGATGAACAAGAGCCTGTACAGTGCTCACACTCAGGTGAGGTGGAATGTGCTTCCTCCCAGGACTTGCAGAGAGACGCAAGCTGACCAATCTGTGCTCATCCTGACAACACGAGGGAGAAATGGGGGAAGTTTCTCTACACCTTCAGAACATCTGCTGTATTTCTGTCTGTTGTGGTCACTCTAGCTGGACAGGCTAGCATCTGGTAGAGCTCTCACTAAGCATCATTAGATATTATTATTGTTCTCAGTCTGTCCTTATCGTTAGACAACGGACTGTGGAAGCTACAAGCAGACTGCATCTGGGTGCCAGTGTCTCAAAAGAGT